CATAATGTTCGGTGAATTGTTAAGGTCTGTTGAGTTAGGACATATGAAGGTACTTTTAGAACACTGATTACTGAAGTGGGTGGACAGATGGAACCTGTTGCAATCCACTGTGGAAATCCTTACTTCTCAGGTTTTATATAAAATAAAACTATGGCAAGATCCTGGCAGCGGATATCAGGATGAGTCAGCAGAAATAACGCTAGGATGATAGGGCCTTGCATACACGAAAGTAGAGGCCTCAGTCAGGTATTGGGACCTATTGTTCTCGGAACTGTATACACATATAATGACAAGAGGGACCCCGCCCCATAAGAACGTACATTTTAAGGACCAGTCCGTATTTCAAAAAGCCCTCTACCTTGTGCAAATTCACAACATGTTGAAAAGTGAAACTTTCTTGCACAACAGCTTAAGTGAAAAATTATTGGGTGCAGTTTCTGTCATTCATTTTGCATTACTTAAACATCCTGCTGGCTGTTCCACAAATGTCAATAAGAAGCAGCAGGGTAAGGAAGATTGTAAATGGCTTCAGATCTGAACAAAGATAGAAAAATACACACTTGACTTTTTGTTTATTGCCCCTCACCCCGCCATGTGTTTTCTCTGACTAGAGCAATTCCATGCTCTTGTGCCATATTGTATTGTGATCTCTTCTGATCCAGCAGCAAATCTTACCAGAGAAACATAATTGCCTTTTCACCATAGGTAGGCAAAACACGGATAATTGGATGTCACATAATATGAAGTCATACTCTATTTTAATAGCATTTAGATTATACTCCTCCATAGGCAGGAGTAAAATTCAAACAACATGGAAGTAAAGGTTAATTGTAAATGCTTTTGCCAGACGGCTGAAAACAGAGCAAGACCATAGGCTGTTGCAAGCCCAGCAAGAAATCTTTCTAGTTTTAAGAAGTAGGCTGATGGAGGTAATGCCCTTTGGCAGGCAAGCCTAAATGAGGTGCTAATCAGAGGGATGTTTGGGGGGAAGTGAACGTGTACTGAGTGCAGAATTGATCACAAGAGAGATGAGTAGCCAGTATCATTCCTAGTCTCTAACCTCAATGAATAAAGGATGCAGAGGGCACCGGCTTTGCGCTAACTTGTCTCAGGCACATTGTTCAGAGTTTTTATTTAAAATATGTGTGCACTATACATGAAAGCTTCACATTGTATGCTTTAGTCATTGCAATACACTAACAATATACCACTATTAAGACATTTGATTTAATTTAGTAGTTCAGAGCAAGAAAAATCTTTTCATCAGCGGAACTCAAATTGCTTTTAAAAAAAACTAAGCATCACAACTCATGTGTGTGTGTGGGGGGGGAGTACTATTGATCAGAGTGGTAGAGAAGAGCAAATTAAAACATATGGTCCATTAAAACTTACTAGGAAAGTGAAATACCACTGGCAACCCCATGCCAGAGAGAATACTACTTCATTTCTCTCCTACAAGGTGAGTGTTCCATATGATCCTCTCCTTACGCTTCGGCATAAAAATGTATATTAAAAAAAATGCATGAAATAATTCACATCCCTTAGCAAACACAGCCTGACTTAGAGTTTTGACACACCGCAATTCAGTACAATACTTTTGTAATATTCATGATGTTTCTTTTATTTATTCTACTGGGGAGATTGTGCTTATCTGACCTCTCATACCCGTCTTGCCACAGATGTGAAAAGAAGAAAGAGCTCAATATGTCAAAAGGTAGAATAGCAAGCACCATTCATTGATGCTGATGGCTGAGATTCCAAGTGGAAATGGCCAAAGCAACAATCTGCCACTAGAGAGAAAAAACTAGTTTCTTGGTTTTGAAGAGAAACTAAGTGTTTTTCACTGCTTAAGCGATGTTTGGAGTGAACTGAAATAAAAACATCAGCGAAAGTTGCTATAAGATGACTGTTGATGCTAGAAGACTTTAGCAGTACATCTGGACTGCCAGCAGGTGCCTTCTTCAGTACAGGGGAAGAGAAGTAGATTAAAAGACAGCATGCTGGGTAACATGAACAAAACGTTGAGGAACTGATACATTGAAAAGAAGGATACAGAGCTTTATACTTCTCTGCACTCTAGCAAAAATCAGCCTTTCAATCTTTCATTTTTAAACTGAGAACACAGAGCAGTGGTAGAGCAAATAATGTATCCTTGTTGTAACTGTGCCCAGTATATGCCTTACTTCAGCATAAAAAAAAAACATGGACGAGGAAACTCCAATTTTGCTAAGAAATGTAAACAGTTTCCAGTGGCATATGTCATTGTTGAATTAATTCAGTTTGCCTTTTACTGGCTTGGAATTCATCCCAGTAGGAAGGAATAAAAACTATTATCGCATATCTGCTTCAGGAAGTCCTACACAACATGAGCTCAGGCAGTTCAAAATCCACTTCTCAGTGTGCGGAAGGGTGTAGGTATCCATAACAATCACTTTCTTGAGAAACACTTATTCAGCACTTTCATCTATTTCAGGACCTGGCACAGGAAATTGGAGAGAGAGAGAACAAAGGGTGCTTTGGCACGGGGATTTATTGACAAAGGTCAATGGGAGAAAGAAATCCTACAGTCAGAAAATTCTAGCCTCTAAAGCTTTCTCCCTGAGAATATAAAAATGTTTATTCTCCAAAAGTAATGCCACTTGTCATAATAAGCAATAGTTGCTGGTAATATATTACCTACCTTACCTATGCCTTGCTGAAACTTCCCCTTTATCATCCCTTGACACCGCATAAACCTCCAGCGCAGAGACAAAGTTCTGTTTGTCATATAATTTTAGATACAGATAACCAAGACAATAGATATGTTCTGAATCCAACAAAATGTCATTGTCCGAGCAGAGCTGTCTCATATCATCCACTCGTTCAAATCAAAGGCAATTGTCAGTCATTCCTTTGAGTAAACGAGACTACAAGCTGATACAGAACGGTCAGTTAATAGCACTCAGAGATAATGTCAGTCATTCTAAGTGTGGAAATGTGAGAAGTTTTAAAAATGTTTTTAAAAATGTCATCATGCCAAAAAATTTTTACTTATTTATTTATAGGCATTTCTTCAGTGCTCATTCCTACTGACTGCTATAACACTTAAATATGCCATTTCATTATTTAATAAACTGAGGATGATGACCCATAACCATAATGTCAAGTAATCAGGATTCACACTGTTCTTCTGAATAAGATCTCCTCGTGTAATCCAGTACTTCTATTTACCAGCATTCAAACCCTATTTCTGTATGCTTCTACAATTTGCCACGCAAAACAGCTCAAGAGTCACATGAAAATACAACTTAATAATTCTTGCACATATGGAGAAAGAGAATTACCCAGATGTTTAATTATCCTAATGAGATTATCCCCAAAAGGCTTTTCGAACCTCAGCCCCGCTGAAGATTGTTCTGAAAATCAAAGCACTGAAGTCCTATATTGAGACTAAATAAGGTTTAAAATGCATAACATGATCTCACTATAAAGCCCTCTTGTGAGCAAACTTGTGTGAAGCTTTGTAACCCCGTAGGGGATAGGGAGGAGTTCCTATCAAAGGGTCAGGGTCTAGATCTATATTGTTTTCAAGCTATGCTCACGACCCAGTCTAAAGCACCAACTGGAAATATGTTAAATTTGTTGATGACGGAGGTGGAAAGTGAATACATTATCTTGTATCAAATAGTATTTGTTGAAGCTTCCAACATG